CTGTTTTCCTAACTTGCGATGTGTGCATGTGGCACTAAAATGCATATTTGATATCCTTTATGTTTGTCTTACAGGCTCACTTTAATTCTTATCCCATTTCCCTTCATACCCTGCCACCTCCCTTCCTCTCCAATCTGCTCACACCCCACTCTTCTACCCACTGCATTCACTTAAATTGTGGCATTGGGGAGCACTGCATTATCAGAGGTTTTGTCCTTCGGATGAGAGGTTAAACTGAAGTCTTGTCTTTCTGTTCAGGTAGACATTAAAAAAAGTCACTATTGAAAATCAGAAGGGAACTTGGTGTCCTGGCCAATAATCCTCCAGATGGAGTCCTGTAGTTTATTTAGAGCATTTGCCTCGCAAACAAGAGGACCTGGGTTTGATTCCAAGCAGGGCAAAACGTTAGGCAAGTTTCCTTACTCCTCACGCCTCTGTTTACCTAACAGTAAGAAGAAACCCGGTTGTCAGTTGATTGGTGGATCGCTTTTCCGGGCATAATAATCCCTTAAAAAAATAATAATAATTTAGTCCCTCAGTTTGTGGGACACTGCTGTGCGCAATTGGTTGTTGCGTTTCACCCACAAAATATACAGTCAATTTACTTCACAGTGTTTTCTGACTTTGAGACAAGGATTATTATTATCATTCACCTTCTAGGTGTCTGCAAGACATTGCTATTTCAGCGCTTTGGGACATCCTCTCGACGAGAAAGGCGCTCTATAAATGTAATTTTGTTGCTGTTGTTGCTATGTGAAAATTGGCTTCTGCCTTTGCGTACAAATACAACAACAACAAATTGCATTCATATAGTGCTTTCACCTCAGGATAACATCCCAAGCAATCGACAGTTTGCACCCGGGCTAAGGGTTCAAATCAAGGGGACCAAGGGGGATGGGACTGGGAGGATGTTCACGGTCAAAGAGTCATGGTCAAAGAGAAAAGTCTTGATATGGACCTTGAAGGAGGCAAAGGCGGGGGCAAGGTGAAGAGATTCTGGAATGGAGTTCCAGAGGGTGAGGGCAGAAATGCTGACTGCTGATGGTGGAAGAGACAGGGGACATGGAGCAGTCCAGTGCCCGCTGAGCAGAGAGAGCGGGAAGGATGGTAAGGTGATAGTAGGTCACAGACCAGGGACGAGCAGGACTGTGGAGGGCTTTGAAAGTGAGGATGAGGATCCTAAACTCCTTCCTCTGGGAGATGAGGAGCCAGTGAAGCCAGGTGAAGATGTGGTGATCGGCTCACGGAGCTTGGTGCAAGAGAGTACTGTGGATCACTTAATCCTCCTCCACTGCCTCTCCTCCCACCTCAAAACCTTCAAAGTTCTGTCCTTGACTGGTTCAGTCCTTTCACACCGCCTCCACTTCGTCTCTGCAAACGGCTTCTCTTCCAGCCCCCGCACCGTCTCGTACAGCGTTCCTCAGGGCTTTGTCCTTGATCCCCTCCTCTTCACCCTCTACATGCTCCCCATTGGTGACATCATCTGCAGACATGGGGTAAATTTCCACATGTATGCATTTGACCCTGAACTGTCCTTTCTCCCCCACATCTGCGCCATGACCAGCACTGCCTACCACCACCTCCGCAACATTGCCAGACTCCACCACTGCCTCACCCCTCAGGCTGCCAAAACCCTCACCCACGCATTCGTCACATCAAGGCTCGATTATGGAAACTCCCTCCTCATCGGCCTTCCCAACTGTTTCTTTTGTAAGCTGCAAATCATCCAAAACTTGGCAGCTCGTTTACTCTCATGCACCAGGCTCCGTGATCCCATCACTCCCACCCTCACCTAACTCCACTGGCTCCCCATCCCTCAGAGGATCGAATTCAATATCCTTGTCCTCACTTTCAAGGCCACCATGGCCTTGACCCCTCCTACCTCTCTGACTGCTGACTCCCTACCAAACTGCCTGCTCCCTCCGTTCAGCAGGCTCCGGCCTGCTCCATGCCTCCCGCCCTACCATCAGTGGCCGAGCTTTCAACCTCTCTGCCCCCACACTCTGGAACTCCATCCCACAGTCTCTTCACCTCGCTTCCTCACTTGCCTCCTTCAAGGCCGGTCTCAAGACCCTCCTCTTCGATCGTGCCTTCAGTCGCCCTCCCATCTCTCTACCTTCCCTCCCCCCTACCCTACCCCTCCCTCATGCTCGGGTCCTGACCCCTGATTGTCCAGCACCTTGGGACGTTCTTCCGATGTGAAAGGCACCATATAAATGTAATGCTGTTGGGAGGGCACGAGCCGCAGAGTTTTGAATAATACAGGCACTATATTTAAAGTAACCTTGATGTTTCAACGAGATCAGGCATTATATTATTTGCAAGGATTATTATTGTCTATACAGCGCACAGTGCCTTACAATTCTGGGAAAGAGGAGAGAAGGAGCAATAAAGAATCTAGAGCTTAAAATTCACTGGTACCTCTGCCGTAAAGATTTATCTCTGAAAACCACGAAAGCATGTCTTATTTGGAATTAGAAAACTGCCATGTTACGTTCAGTGAGTTGACCACATCACAAGAGCAATCGGTTTTCTGTCATGGGTCACTCTGTTTCCATCAACTGTACAAATACACAATTAGGTGGTTCTTCTTAAACTGCAGTTGAGGTCACAGCAGCAATACTGTTCTGTTCATTATCGCTTTCACTGGACTGTGGCACAAAGCAAGGTGATATTTTTTCATCACCACAAATCTTGGTCAATGTCAGATTGAGATGAGTGATCATGCGCAGCAACTGTACTTTTTAATTTTTGTTTCTTGAAGGAATAGGGAACCGATGGTTTAAATGGCACTTCAGCAAGGAAAAGAGGGAAATGTACCTGAGAGCCTATCTGATTGAAAACAACAACAGTAAATTGCATTTATATAACACCCTTCACATCGGGATGAAGTCCCAAAGCGCTGGAAACTGACTGAAATTGACTGTCTGTAAATCAGGTTTGCTCTGGGGGGGGTGGGGGGGAAGGTGTGAAAGCTGTTGTCAGAGAAGGGGGAAAATGAAAGTGAGGCATCCCCATCAACCTGTGCTTTGGAAAGGAGCCACAGAGGAGTGCTTGGAGGGCTGGGTTGCTGGAGTTGTCCTGGGAATCCTGTGCTCACTGACTTCCCAATGCAAGAAGACACTGAAATAAGAAGCTCAGCTGTCTGGACCGGTCTGTGCTTGTGCAGGATTTTGCAATTCACATTCAACACAACCGCAGCTTCCAAAGGGTAAACAAAACAGCACGCAACTACCTCTCTGCTTTCTCCAGCCATTTACAACAGCAGCAACAACTTGCATTTATACAGCGCCCTTCCCACGAAGTAGTACTTCTTTGTGTTCCCCTGTGTGTCGTTTCTCTGCCTCTAACGTAAAACGTGGCAGAAGCTCACTCGTTAAAGTTACAGATGTTGACATTTTTTAGGGAGTGGGGGGGGGGGGGGGGGGAAGCTTTTGGTCCTCAAAGTGGCTTTGATTCGGTGATGGCAACATTGCTGTTTAAGAATTGCAATCTGACTGAGTGAGTGCTGTGTGGCTGCTCAGGGTATGTGCCAGTGAGGAGCAGTCAGGCAACGGTGCAGTGCACAGAAATGTCACTGTTGCTTCGGTAAGCAATTTAACGCGAGTCTTTCAATTTGTTCCTCAGGGCAATAACACCACACAACACACCTCTGCTGCTCAGTGCAGCCCTGCAAGTGTGTGGTGGCAGTTTGCTTGGGGATGGATGGATGGATGGATCGATGGATCGATGGATGGGTCGATGTCCTTCATTCACATATAGTAATCAAGCGAGAGAGAGAGAGAGAGAAAGAAACAAAGAAAGAAAGAAACAAAGAAAGAGCACTGAGAACCCAGACAACAAAGAAGGCTTTAGAAAGGGAAGTGGCATTAATAAAAAAAGGACTGAGATTTTTCTTCGTTTGCAAAATCTTCCCGTTTTGCGGGGATCCGATAAAACTGGTTGAGATAACCGACCCACACAATGTATGTATATAGGTCGTGAATATTTTGTTTCTTGAGAGCGTTGTAATGATAGGTGTGTGTGTGTGTGTTAACAGTTAAACCCTGTTAGTTACAGCAGTTTTAGCACCTAAATCGCGGGGCTAATGATCCTGCAGATGAAACACTGCAAACAAAAGAATTGCATCGTTTTAGACACCAGCACAGACATCAGGACTTCTTCCAGTGTCCACCTCCCCCTCTCATTCCCCTTCCCCCTTGTCCAACTTTGCTATCGTTAGGATTTGGTCAATGCAACACAGCACATCAGTTACTGCAACTTTCTGCCAGAAACACCAGGCAATTTTCACTGAAACTATATAATATATATATATATATATAAACGCAGACATATAGTATATGCAATACGATAAACCTCACGTTTGGTTCCAGCACAGTCTTGTACTGTGTCTCAGGCTACACGATTCACTCTGGAAGAAAATTAACTTAAACATTAAAATGAACATATACACTTATTGCTAACAATAAGTTATCTTTATCCTTTAATAGCTCTGCTCCACAGCGGCTCCCTGTCCACCCCGCAGCATTGTGCAAATCTTACAAACTATTCCAAATCTTCCTTGGTTTTATCTCGGAAAGTCTCTTAAGGTATGTTTTCCTCTCCCTCCCTCCCTCCCTCCCTCCCTCCCTCCCCTCCCTCCCCCCTGTGCCTTCCCCTCCTGCCTTTGCTGAGAGCCTGACTCACACCTCGGGGCTAAAGGAGACACCGTGAACGTGCCCTGAAGTGCCACAGTGCCTGTCCCGGGATACAGACAGACAGTCACAAGTCCTGATCACCGCTTTGCTGTGTGAGGGGGAGGAAGAAAAGCCAAACAAAATGCCAAGTGATGATGACTGCTATTTGTTCTGACGCCCCCGACACATCTAACGGTGTTTGATCGCCTGTGGGACCTGAGAGCTTATAGCAGCTGATTGCAGTGAGACCCCCCTCTCCCCCCCCCCCCCCCCTCCCCCCCAGGATCGTGTGCTGCTCTTTGCTCAGGTGATGGACACTGGCAGATGGCGGTGGTGATGAGGACGGGGGCGGCCGGACTGCTCGCCGCCGCCGCCGCCGCCGCCGCCGCTGTTGCTCTGGTCGCCAGCGCTGGAGTCTGGCGCTTTGACACCGTCCACTCGTCCGACACCGAGTCGGGGGACTGTGCGCGGGTCCGGGGCTCCGCCGCTGCCGCTCCGGACTCCAGCCGATCCCTCGGGCTCACAGAGTCCGGGCACAGGTGCCTGAAGTGGAGTAAGATCCCCGATTTCATCCACAGATTCCCCCACAGGGGTCTGGGAGCGCACAGCCTCTGCCGCAACCCCGACGGGCGGCTGAAACCCTGGTGCTTCTACAGGAACCACCGAGGGAGGATCGACTGGGCTTATTGTGGCTGCAAACAGGGTGCGTTTACTGCTCACACTGCTGCACGGTGTGCACACACAGCCTCACACTCACTCACACTCACTCACACTCACACACAGCCTCACACTCACACACACTCACTCACAATCACACTCACTCACACACAGCCTCACACTCACACACACTCACTCACACTCACACACTCACTCACACACACTCACACTCACACACTCACTCACACACAGCCTCACACACACACACACAGCCTCACACTCACACACACTCACTCACAAACTCACACTCACTCACACACAGCCTCACACTCACACACACTCACTCACACACTCACACACTCACTCACACACAGCCTCACACTCACTCACACTCACTCACACACTCACACACAGCCTCACTCACACTCACTCACACTCACACACTCACACACAGCCTCACACTCACACACACTCACTCACACACTCACACACTCACTCACTCACACACAGCCTCACACACACACACACTCACTCACACTCACACACAGCCTCACACACACTCACACACACACACTCACACACAGCCTCACACTCACTCACACTCACTCACACACACACTCACACACACACACACTCACACACACTCACACACACACTCACTCACACACAGCCTCACACTCACTCACACTCACTCACACACTCACACACAGCCTCACACTCACACACACTCACACACACACACTCACACACAGCCTCACACTCACTCACACTCACTCACACACTCACACACAGCCTCACACTCACACACACTCACTCACACTCACTCACTCACTCACTCACACACACTCACTCACACTCACACACTCACTCACTCACTCACACTCACACACTCACACACACACACACTCACACACACACAGCCTCACACTCACTCACACACACACACTCACACTCACACACTCACTCACACTCACTCACAATCACACTCACTCACACACAGCCTCACACTCACTCACACTCACACACACACAGCCTCACACTCACACACACACTCACACTCACTCACACACACACTCACACACACTCACACACTCACACACACTCACACACACACACTCACTCACACTCACTCACACACTCACTCACACACTCACACTCACACACACTCACACACACACACACACTCACTCACACTCACTCACACACTCACTCACACACTCACACTCACACACACACACACACACACACACTCACACACACCTCACTCACACACACTCACACTCACTCACACTCACACTCACTCACACTCACACACTCACACTCACACACACTCACACACACTCACACTCACACACTCACACACACTCACACTCACTCACACACACTCACACACACTCACACCCACTCACACTCACTCACACATACTCACACTCACACACACTCACACACACTCACACTCACTCACACTCACTCTCTTCTGATATTTGCAAAGGTTAGGCACTGCCTGGGACACATCGAGCATCTATCTGTCTGTGATCATTCATTGACAGGGCAGCAGAAAGACAGCATGACCGCAATATTGTTATTATTATAGTTATTATAATCATAATAATCCTTGCATTTGATACAGCGCCTCATCACGTCATTGAGACATCTCAAAGCGCTTCACAAAATATACTGGAAAGCGGAGTGACTGTGTATTTTTGCGGGTGAAACGCAACGCCAATTGCGCACAGACGTGAGCCACAAGCAGTCGTGGATTGAAATTTTGTGCTCGTAAGATGTTTAGCACTACACAGGGTGATGCAAAAACACTTTTTTTTAAAAAAAAAGCAATAATATGTTAAGGCCAGGTGACCAGTTTATTCTTACCTTTAATTAAATTGAGGATAGCTTCAGGTGCTTGATGTGCAGGAGATATCATAGTTGAAGAAGAGGAAACAGAACAAATCCAAGTTTATTGTTGTTGGTTACAAACTATAATTTGCCACAAACAGTAACATACAATTAAACAGCAAGAGGACTGTGCATTGCCCACATCTGCTTTGTTGTTGCGTTATTCTGATTTGTGGCATTTTGTAACAGATTTCTTAATAATAATTGTGTGATTGTTAAATTTCTAAACCATTGAATGAGCCAAAGAACAAGTTAATTCTTCATTACATTCATTGGTTTAGAAATTGGATAATTACATATTTTCTATTAAGAAATGTGTTAAGAAATACCCCAAATTAGTTCCAAAATTAGTTCCTACACCAAGAAAAATACTTTGGCACTAGTATTATTAATTATTATTATTGGCACAAGATATTATTAATCTTGCCAGTGTTATTTAAAATGACAAGCTGAATTATGAGTAAAACAAACACTTTACAATAATAATCGTTGCATTTGATATAGCGCTTTTCACGTATTCGAGACGTCTCAAAGTACTTCACAGAATATACTGTAAAGTGAATTGACTGTATATTTGTGAGTGCAATGCAACAGCCAATTGTGCACAGCAGTGTCCCACAGACAGTCGTGGATTGAGTGACCAAATTATTGTTGTTTTTTTTCTTGAGGGATTATTATCAGGCGTGTGATGCAAGGCAATTTGCCCAAGGTTTCGCCCTGCCGAGTTTCAAACCCAGGTCTCTTGCTTGCAAGACAAGTGCTCTAACCACTGAGCTACAAAACTCGACAATAACTTGCCACTTGGAAGGAGTTTGGGCTTATTCATGAAATTAAACTTTAGATGATCTGGAGGTTATGATTATAGGGTTAGTTCTCAGTACACAGTTTCTAAACTTGGATGTCACTGTGGAAATAATTTTAGATACTGCGAAATAAAGTTTAAATTTTTAAAGAAAAATGCTGATTCAGTAAAAAGCCAAGTTTCATGTTTAACATTGTTAGTGGCAATCCACAAGCTAAAATCATCGGCTTCAAAGTCACTTACATATTGAATACATTACTGCATTATATGTTATGTAAGATATCCATAGAGGAAGCTAACTCTCATGTTGCAGAACCAGATACTGATAATTTTATTTTAAGCAGCATTAGGTTGTCCAAATGGAATGTATGCTTGGCCTGAGCTCATTTGTACCATTTTAAATGTTATATGGCTGGTGCACATTGCTTCTGAGTAGATTTTATACCCTGAAGCTGATATTATGCTCTCATTGTCTCATAGAATTCTTACAATTCAACCCCAGCTCAGTATTGCTGTAATTGATTTAAGATCGTAGGTATTGCTACAGTTGACCTGTTTCCTAGGAATGGGTAAGGGAAAAATGAACTAGATTTTCCTTTCCACTATCCACTGAGCCCAGCTGGAAAATCCTCACAATTGGACAATGGTGGGCGGGAAAGGTCCGTTCTGATCTGTGATTCTTTCACCAAAGTTTCATTTTCATGAAGAATGGCCAGCTGGGTACCCATTTTGCCGCATCTTCAGGAGAAGTGGGGAGAAAAAACAAAACAAATCAAGACATCTCACAGTTGATAGCACTTTCAGTTGCAGGAATATTCCTCTTAGTGATTTAAAACTATCGTAGTTTTCTTGGACATAATTAATTATTTTTAATTCATGACTTGTTTAGCTTCAAGGACAATGAGTGTAGTGCAATCCATAGATATCTCAAGAACAGTTACAATGCTGTACAGCAAAAGTCGTTTAAGAAGATAAGAATTTGCTAGGTCAAAGAAGACCTAGGTCCATCTAGTTCGACACAAACTAAATAATAAATGATTTTGGGTCCTGTCAAGCATTGGAAGCATAAAACTTTGACCTAATTTGTCTTGGAAGAACTTCAAACAAGGTTCTAGGTTTAGTGTGCCTGGCATTAACCACTGCGATCATATAATACTGAATATCATAATAATAATAATAATCCTTGCATTTGATATAGCGCTTTTCACATCTTCTAGACGTCCCAAAGCGCTTCACAGAACACACTGCAAAGTGAATTGACTGTATATTTGTGGGCGAACGTGGCAGCCAATTGCACACAGCAGTGTCCCACAAACAGTCGTGGATTGAAAATGACCAATTTATATTATTGTTTTTTTTTGGAGGGATTATTATTAGGCGTGTGGAGTAAGGAAACTTGCCCAAGGTTTCGCCCTCTGCCTGGAATTGAACTCAGGTCTCTCACTTGCAAAGCGAGTGTTCTTTGAGCTACATGACTCCACAATAATATTTGTTGTTATTGAGAAGACATCATCAGGATTGAAAAGAGTAGGAGAAAAGAGCAGATAAATCAAAAAGTAATGATTAGATGACTGAAAACTACAATGCAAAAGTCTTCACACTGTGGGGTGTAATTTGTGGGATGCACTGATTATACGTAAACACATGTGTAAAGGCTGTACTGAGTGTGCTAACTATGTGAAAATGCATGAGTATAGAAGTGCTCTTTATTGTGTAATGAACAACAACTGCTGGAAGCTGGACTCTTTCAAGAAACAGCTTGATGCCACTGCAGTAAAATGGTGGAGTGTCTATTTTGGAAAGATGGGATCAAGTAGACTGAAGTGTGCTTCTGTATCCCAACCTTGTGTTTGATTGTGTGAAATGACAGACTGGATTTGTACTGTCTGGTTTACACTGCTCTTATCCTGGGCGCAGTAGAAATTAAGTGTTGTACAATGTGCGCTGTATGACAATTACATTTTCAAGAACCTCAATTCCTGTTGATACCTTAATTCCATTAAAACCCTTCAGAGTAGTTAGTCTAATGGATTTCACACAATATTTAAATTGACAAGTTTAAAAGTTCTCTTTGCAATTGTTTACAGTTACAATAAGCTCCTGATACATCGGTACTCCGAGGGCAAGAGCTCAGTGATTAGTTATCCGTAGCGGTAGTTATCTAGTTGGGAAAGGGTCCTCCCGAGCCACAAGGGGGAATTGTGACTTGTGCAGGCGCTCGGCGGAGGTTGGGAGCACATGCTCCAGTGCATTGCAGAGGCCTCTGGTCCCATGCTGAGGCGAGGCAGGAGGTCATGGTGCGGTCCTTCAATAGACAGAGGCCTCTGTGATTGATCTGAGCTTGCATG